TTCCTCCCACTGACAGCGATGATGGGGCACTATTCCTCCCACTGACACCGATGATGGAGCACTATTCCTCCCACTGATACCGATGACGGGGCACTATTCCTCACACTGACACCGATGACGAGGCACTATTCCTCACACTGACACCAATGACAGGGCACTATTCCTCCCACTGACACCAATGATGGGACACTATTCCCCCCCACTGATACCAATGATGGGGCACTATTCCTCCCACTGACACCAATGATCGGGCACTATTCCTCCCACTGACACCAATGATGGGGCACTATTCCTCCCACTGATACCAATGATGAGGCACTATTCCTCCCACTGATACCAATGATGGGGCACTATTCCTCCCACTGACACCAATGATGGGACACTATTCCTCACACTGACACCAATGATGGGGCACTATTCCTCCCCCACTGATACCAATGATGGGGCACTATTCCCCCCCCACTGACACCAATGATGGGGCACTATTCCTCCCACTGATACCAATGATGAGGCACTATTCCTCCCACTGATACCAATGATGGGGCACTATTCCTCACACTGACACCAATGACGGGGCACTATTCCTCCCACTGATACCAATGACGGGGCACTATTCCTCCTACTGACACCAATGACGAGGCACTATTCCTCCCACTGACACCAATGACGGGGCACTATTCCTACCACTGATACCAATGACGGGGCACTATTCCTCCCACTGATACCAATGACGGGACACTATTCCTCCCACTGACACCAATGACGGGGCACTATTCCTCCCACTGACACCAATGACAGGGCACTATTCCTCCCCCACTGACACCAATGACGGGGCACTATTCCTCCCACTGACACCAATGAAAGGGGCACTATTCCTCCCACTGACACCAATGAAAGGGGCACTATTCCTCCCACTGACACCAATGACGGGGCACTATTCCTCCCACTGATACCAATGATGGGGCACTATTCCTCCCAATGACACCAATGACGTGGCACTATTCCTCCTACTGCAAAATTACAGTTATGAAGTAGCGACGAAAATAATTTTATGGTTGGGGGTCACCACAACATGAGGAACTGTATTAAGGGGTCGCGGCGCTAGAAAGGTTGAGAACCACTGCTGTAGAGGGAGGGAGATGTGGGGAGAGCACTTAAAGGTGCACCTGGTCTTTAAGATACACACCTGAAAAGCTGTACTGTATATAGTATGGCTCCAAATGTGGTTTATCAATTATTATTTTTCAGCATATCTTGAACAATTATTCTGGAAAAAAGCTTCATATGGTCAGGTCAGATAATGAATATTGGCTAGTGATGGAATCATTAAATATTCTTTGTGCAGCCATAACATCACTGGGTATATCCATGGGGAAGCTGTAGACTTCCAGAGACCGTGGTAGTGATTTGTCTGCCTGACCTGACCCATGCTTGGACGTGTAGCCATATCTCAATGACCTGTATGTTCAGCATTTTGGTCCTGACACTTGGCTGAAAGACCACCAATGCCTACTGATGCTGAAATCATACAACCAGATTTTTCAACCAGTCCAATCGATATCCAAATGAACAATAAAACTCAGATGTCCTATACTCTCCATATAGTTATGCAAATGATGTTAATAAACAAATACAAAAATGACATTAAGATAAAAAACACTTTTAAAAGTACAAGCTTGAGTTCTAAAGCCTTTATAAAAACTGACAGTTCTGTAACTAGTTTGAAAAGGAGATTTAGTGAGACCCTGTCTATATTTAGGTTAGGCTACACACAAATATTCTAGATGCAGACAGCCTCAATATATCAATAATGAGAATGTAAAACTTCTTTTTTCATTTTGGATGGAGCAAGGGAGGGTTAGAAGATATGTTTGTTCACCATCTGTGTCCCATTCCGGAGATTTCCCTTCACTTCCTGTCCCACAGCCAAACAAAAATTGAAAGGAAATCCCTGTAAATTAAGGCGATTGCTTGGGGACCCCCAGGTCACCAGAAACAGTTTGGGATTTTCTTTTACAATCGCTTTCAATGATAATGGTAAACAGGACAAATAGAGAGAGTGAATCTCCCTACCGTACACAGACAGCAATAAAAACCTGACAGGTGTTCTAATCCCTCTGCACTCCATCCAAAACTAGAAAAAAAAAATGTTTGCCTTTAGATATACTTCAGTCAAATGGTTTAATATGGCTGGCTGGAGAGTGTATGTGAAGACATGAAGCCGCCATCTAATGGTGAAAATAATCAATGGTTTCTGAAAGTCCATGGATGTATTATATGGATAAACTGTGACATCCAAATTTCTAACAAAGCAAAATTGGCCAGGACCATTGTAAGAAAATACATAAAGATCCAGACCAACATAGGGGAGGGAAGAGTAGAGTCAGGCAGCAGAGACACTGGCACACATGATGTGGAGGATGGACAGTGAGTAATGTAAATCTACACAGATACAGCCACCAGCCAAATTTCAGATGGTAAGGCAGTATAATGAAAGGCAGCAAAGATACAGCCACAAATGATGCATGGAAGTAATGCCAGCCGTAGTTATTTAGTGATTTACCCTAATTATTTAGTGACCATTTGCTTTGCCTAGCAAGTAAATCATTAAAAAATTTCTAGCAGGATTAAAGTGGTTCTAAAGGTAAAATTAATTAATTAATTAATTAATTTACACCTTAATGCATTCCCTGCATTAAAGTAAAAAAAAGTTCTACCATTTTCTGTGCCCCCCTTCAAAAACATACCTGAGTCCTATATCAATCCAGTTCTGTGCCCAGCTGCATCTCGTCTCTCCCTCCTCCCTGCTCTCACAATCTTGTCTGACAGCAGCAGAAGCCGTTAGCTCCTGATGCTCTCAGTCAAATCCTGTGAAGCGGGGCCGAGCCATGCTGTGTGTGTCAATGGACACACACAGCCCAGCTCGGGAGTGAGCCTGCAGGTGTGCCCCCCCCCAGGGGCGGACTGACCATTCGAGCACTCGGGCACTGCCCGAGGGCCTGGGGTCAGTAGGGGGCTCCATGAAATGCCCCTGGCACCTTTTTTATAGGCTTTTTGGGTGTGGTTTGAGTGTGGGCAAGGACATAGGGGCCCCATGATCCCCTATTGCCCGGGGGCCCCATGAGTTGTCAGTCCGTCCCTGGCCCCCCCATAGGAAACGACTACTTATGGTGCTGCACTGAAAAAAGGAGGGGCCTAGAGCACTGGTGGGGGACCCCAGAAGAGGAGGTTCAGGGCCCCTCTACATGTTTGTTACTCTACAAAACAAAATGGCTTTACAGCCGCTTTAAAGGTATCCTCATCTAGTTATAGCCTATTCAGCCTATGCCAGCAAATAGTAATCTTTATAGAAAGAGAATAAAATCATCAATCACCCAAGCCTTAGTTTTGTTGTTGATACCAGTGTAGTGAATCAAGGGAAAAATCAGAACTTAATGAAACATTTGTTTTCCCAGAGATCATAGTCACAACAGATTTTGTGCTAATTCCAACAATAGCATATTATTATATTGAAGCTCTTCAAGTGATTGACAAACTACCAAACTATGCCAAAATAAAAAAAAAAAACAAATGTCACAGAAGATGTCACAGAAATATAAATAGAGAGTACTACAGAGCAACAACTCATCTGTAATCTACTACAAAGTTTGGATTAGGAAATGTTTATTTGCTAGGTTCAAAGAGAAAGGGTTTTGAAACCATTTAATTCCATTGAAACAAATTCTTGCAAAACAGCACACTGTACTGTCAAAACATGCTCCAATGCCAAAGGAAAGCTTTCCTCCAATCAAGTCTCAATGTTCTCCCGGTCATATTACACACACCCATCAGCATGCTTGTAAAGTAAAACCCAGACCTATCAAATCCACTGATACAGTGCAGACACTGCACATGTGTGGTTACAGACGTTTAAAACGGTCTGCTGTCCTATAAATGAATACTATTCAGAAAAAAATGTATTGTCTCTCCTCTTGGGGGTGATGCAGAATTATGTGGTGGTGTGGTCCCCTATGATGGGACCCTGTAAGAGCAGTAACAGTCTTCCTTAATTTGCATTGGATATTCCTCTCATCAGTTTGGCCCTTGACTCTGTGATAGCAAAGCTACCTTGATTTATGAGCAATACACAGTTACATAGTTAGTCTGGCTGAAAAAGACAAAAGTCCATCCAGTTCAACCATAGAAAAAAAAAAAGGTATAATCCTATGCCTACAGTTGTCCCAGAGGAAGGCAAAAAAAAACCAGCAAAGCGTGATCCTATTTGCTCCTGCTGGGAACAACATTCCTTCCTGATCCCCCGAGAGGCAATTGGATATTCCCTGGATCAACTTTACCTATAAATGTTAGTATCCAGTTATATTCTGTATTCTAAGAATCCAGGCCTTTTTTGAAGCAATCCACTGAGCTGGCCAGAACCAACTCTTGAGGGAGTCTATTCCACATTTTCACAGCTCTCACTGTCAAGAAACATTTGCGTGTTTGGAGATTAGATCTCTTTTCCTCTAGACGTAAAGAGTGCCCCCTTGTCCTCTGTGATGACCTCAGGGTGAACAGCTCTGAGGTCATTACAGAGGACAAGGGGGCAATCTTTACATCTGGAGGAAAGAAATCCAATGAATCCTTCTTTCAATGTTCAGCGGTAACATCTACCAGCCCTTCTGCGCAACTCTTCAACAAAAAGATTTCACCCAGAAGCTCCCTTCAGGCCACCATTTTCTTGCCCAGCTCTCTTTGAATATATACCCCCCCCCCCCAGCAGGGCAGCTAAAGTCTTTGGGCCTTCAGTACATGCCCCCACTCAGACAAGATCCAAATAGTAATCCAGACAGAAGACCGGGAGAGAAAGAATAGTGGAAAGATGCTTGAAATAAATATTCTCTCCTTAATCCATACCACTGAACAAAGATCTCAAGAACTGGTTGGGCCAGACAACTAAATATAATTAGAAACACTCCAGCTTACAGCAAGGTCCCTACACTACTATTGTTAGAAAAACTTACCATTTTCAGAGAATCTTGCAAAGCTGCCCATTGCATAAATGGGATCTTGATATTGCTGCGTCTCCAGTAATCGTAATGAGCACGACTTTCGTCATTTGTTAAGGTGTCTTTGGCTTGCTGGAGTTTTTGAAACTCTTCAACTGCAATGTAACAATGTTCACAGATTCAATTGTCAGAATGAATCAGGATTTAAGAGTTAAAATGTAATTTATGGCAGAAATAGCGCAGTTAAGGGTGATGGCCAGTCCAATGATACTGTTACCCACCCCCCAGCTAGATCTTCTTTTGATGTCCCCATTGTCTTTGAATCCTGTGTCCCTTAATGAATGTGAAAGAAAAGGGGATTTTTATTAATTTACCTTAATTTCCATTTCCTTCTGTTCATTAAGACATACAGGTTTAACCCCTCCGTGTTTTGTGTTCCTACTAATAGTACGCTTTTTCACAAACCGAAGCATGCTGGGAGAGGGAGGGGTTATACCAGGCTGGTCAATATTTGTTTGATACCAGAATCCAAATCTTAGGCAGCTTATAATTCAATTGTCTCTAAATCCTGTGTCCCATAACAAGCCCCGACAAACATATTTTACTGTAAGAACAAATATCCTTTTTTAAAGCTTTTCAGGCAAAATCAGCAAGTGTTATGGTATTGTGATTTAGCAGGATTCCTGTGCTGCAGTCATCCCCCATTCAAGAGGCTCCACCCTTTGAGTATCTGTCAGAAGACGTGGAAGAGTCAGCATGGTTCACGGTTCAGCAATAATAGTCACCTCGTCTGGGCATGATGGACTGCAAAAACCTACAACCCGAGTACAGACAATCCTGCAGGAGACCGGAATTGGAAGGTCCAGTCAGTATGCAGAGTTTAAAACTGTAGTAATAACTCTTCAGGAGGATCCTTCTTCCCATATCACTATCTACACTGACAGTTGGGCAGTCTTTAAAGGTCTGACAACTTGGATGCCTATCTGGAAGTCCAATGAATGGATGATTTATGGAAAGGTGGTGTGGGGTGGCAAGGAAGTCTGGGATTTCACATGGACAAAAGCTCACTCCCGCAAAATAAAAGTGGGGCATGTTGACCCACCTGTGCCCCTAGTCCCAGACTCCGAGATCTAGAACAGAGTGGCAGATGAAATCTCAAAGATGAATGCAGTTGTACCAATTGATTCTGTCTTGATGAACTGGGCCTACAAGCAATCTGGACATTTGAGGCAGAAAGCATCATATGAGTGGGCTCAGCAGACAGGATTGCCTATATCAATGGACATTATAAAGATTGTTATAGGGAACTGTACAGTATGTGGAGAAGCGCAACATTGGCCATTGCAAAAGTACTCCACCGGGTCAATTAAGAAGGGCAAGAGGCCTGCAGAGATTTAGAAGATTGACTTCATCGGTCCTCTGGACACCTGTTCAGGACTTTTGCTTGTTCATCCTTGCAAACGTGCAGATCAAGCTGCAATATTTCAACTGCTTCAGAACCATGTTGCTTATGGCTGTCCCAAACAAGTCTAAAGTGATAATGACTCATGCTTCACCAGATCAACAGTACAGAAATGGGCCAGGATTCTGGAGTGTACTGGTTGTGCCACATCCAATACCATCCATGGGCAGGTGGTTTGATTGAAATATACAACAGGATATTGAAGGACCAGATACAAAAACTTACACCCACACAGACACACTAAGGGGGTGGGATTGGGTCCTTACACAGGCAGTTCAGTTGTTAAATTCTAGGCCAATAGCCAAAAGTACACCACATGAGAGGATGGTGGGGGCCGGGGCACAGATTCCACAGCTGGAGTGCAGAGTTCAGTATTTATGTAAGCTTCAAAGAACTGGGTTTAACAGGTACCAAGTTACTGCTTCCCATGATATAGGAACCACATGTGACATATCTGAAGCCTATCTAGGAATGAGAGGGAATCTGGCAGGATGGTTTGAAGTTATATTTGTATTGGCATATGAGCTTCAAGACAGTGACTGGTTAGAGGACACTTCTCAGCAAGAGTGGAAAGTGAGGATCTATAAAACATTAAACCTTCCAAAATAAATAGCAATGATCTTCTGGGAAGTAGTATATTTCCTCTCCTCCCTGTCGATGTTCTTTGGGAGGATCAAAAGTGGATACAGGCAGGTGGCAAAGTGTTAGAGATCAATAATCTGCTTTATTTTCCACTCCACGGGCTGTCTCTGATTTGATCCATAGTAATTCCAGAGAAAGTAGGTTCATGATGGACAGAATCATGGAAGACTGCAAGAGCTGTGAAGAGCAAGGCCTTTGATGTGTTACAAGCCTGGACTTGTTTATATTGGACATTTTACAATGAACTTTTGCTAAAGACTGAAAAACCTTCTCAGTGGCAGAAATATGGGAGGGGGTTGCATTCAAGGTGAATTAATTTTTAGTATGAGTTTGTTAGTAATAAAAATTGATTTTCTATGTGGAGTTTGAGAGAAAATCAAGGGCTGAATGTGTTGCATTTGATGTAAATATATGTTTTTGTTTTATTCCTCAGCCTTACACAAAAGGGTTTGTTTGTTTGTTTGTCTTACAGAAACAATTGCGTACTGTCAGTGATACTTTTTTTATTTGCACTAACATACAATTTTGAGGACAAGCTTTCGGGGAGTGTCCCCTTCTTCAAGGTTCAAGCACTACTACTGTTTGTTTGTCTTAGAAACATAAATCAGATTACTTTTGAATGTTTGAGTGGACTTCTCAAACACATGCCTTGGTAATAATTACAAAAGCTGTTTTCTACAACAATGAAAACTTAGGTACCATTGTTGTATGTTGGGCTCTTCTATTGTTCTTCATTTAAATATGTAACTGAAATCAACAAGTCAAGTTAATCAATGGTTACCAACAGGGGTGGACTGACAACTCATGGGGCCCCCGGGCAATAGGGGATCATGGGGTCCCTGTGTCTTTGCCCAAACTCAAAAAAGCCTATGAAAAAGGTACCAGGGGCATCTCATGGAGCCCCCTACTGACCCCAGGCCCTCAATAGGGGATCATGGGGCCCCTGTGTCCTTGCCCAAACTCAAAAAAGCCTATGAAAAAGGTACCAGGGGCATCTCATGGGGCCCCCTACTGACCCCGGGCCCTCGGGCAGTTCCCGAGCTTCCAAATGGTCAGTCCGCCCCTTTTACCAATAGTTTGACCTTCTGACATATATGACCTATGCCATGTATGATACAACAGTGCCACCTAGAGAGTAAATTGGAGAGTGTTTCACATATATAAATAACTGTGTAAATAAGGCAGGAAAATGGACCACACCCATGTTGGATTGGCTATCTATGCTTTCTAAATAAAAGGCCAACAACAGAAATTGAAGTAGGACTCTAAGATGACTTAACACCAAGGAAGATCTCTTCCAGAACCCGAAGACACTTTTAGCGCAACCTCCTGCAACCATTTTAGAAAAAGCCTGGAGTCCGCGTTGCCTACGGAGATTGTGAAGCCTCTATAATCAGAGCTAAGTAACATTTACTATTATATACAGAAATAGCTTTGCTGGGAAGTAGGTAGCATTTTGCTTATTGTAGGTATATCTGTCAGTCTTGTACTGTTTTTCCTATAATTGTAATAGTTTCTATGTACAGCATTTTCATTTAGCAAAAGCACATTAACCCTTTGAGGACCAAGGGACGTATTTGTCCCATGTTTTTAATTGCGTGTATCATCTGATTAAGAACTTAAAACTCTTTTTTTTTTTTTTTTGGTTTGAGTCAAAATTTTAGTTCTTATCAACAAACAACAAATGGATCTAGCTTTTTGCCAATTATTTCATGAAATGGCTTAGTTACAGCAACTGAAGTGTACGAACTTTAAAAACAAAAAAATTTATTCTTTTGGCGTTCCAAAATCTTACGGTCCTCAAAGGGTTAATACACTACAGAGGTCTAAGTTTGACATATACCGCAAAGTAACCTTAACTAGACACCAAGCAAAACACCTCCTCTCCCTCCCGCCAGAGGCTACAGGAGGAAAATGTTCATTATGCTATTCCAAATAAAAAATTCTGAACCATTTAATTTTATTGTGACCAGCGATTGGTTGCCAAATCTCTTAAGTGTCCCTCACTCTTCAAAAGGTTGAGCACCTTGCTATAACCCTAACTTTAACCCTTCCAATAACCCTAACACTAACCACATGCTAACTTTCCCTGTAACCTTAATGCAATGCTTATGACATTAACTTCACACTAACCCTCCCTATAACCCTAGAGATCACTTTCACACTAGCCCTTCCTGTAACATTAACCCCCAATATAACCCAAACCCAACACTAACCTTAACACTAACCCTCCCTATAGCCCTAACATTAACCACAAACTAACCCTCCTGGCAACCCTATAGCTTATCCCCACTTTAATAACTCTAGTAACAGCTTCATACTTATTCCCCCTGTATCCCCAACACTAACTTCACACTAATCCTCTCTAACTTCACATTTGCCATCCTTGTAATCCTAGCAATAACCCCACAGAAACTCACCCACCCAGTAAATCTAACACTATGTTCACGCTAATCTTCCTTAACATACATAGAACTTCTTTTTGCATATCACCTCTCCTAGACTTTAATCCTCTGCACTGAAGACCAACCCTTCCTACTTCCAAAGATACCAGTCAGTGCCTAAATCCCATTTGTGTTTTATAGGGTGCAGGAGATGACATGCGCGACAAAAGCCTTTGGGTGAGAAGATTTTTGAAATGCATAACTTTAATTTTCAACGTTTTACTGGGTTTTACTTTTTTTAAGTATTTCCTGTTATGAAATTTGGAAAGTAAACTTACCTGCTTTCTGGTTTCCTGGGTGTTTGTCTGGATGGCATTCAAGAGCTCTGACTTTATATTCCGCAATAATTTGTTCAACCTGCATAAAAAGCAAACACATATTTACTAGCTGTGGTCATGTGTACACATCTTACTGTAGACTGTACTATACTGTAAGATTCATCCTGACAATGGTCAGTAATTCCCCTGGAGCACCAGGGACCTGTCAGGATTGATTTTCCTTCTGCTTTTTTTTTCCTTTCTGGAAAATGAAAAACCTTTGGCAGCTAGAGATGCAATAGACATAGCTGCTCACATTCTGCATACCAGTATATTGCAAAAAACATCATTGTGCAATACTCTACAATAACCGATCATCAGCTATCCATGGCTTAGAAAAAAATGAAAAACTATTTTGGACTGATTGCTATGGATTACTGCACACAGTTATTTGCACTGTTACTAAACAAGTTCCTCCTCATTCTTAAATGCCAGTCTATAGGTACAGAACGCCAACTGTAGCTTAGAAGGGCAGTTCAGTGGACTGCTGTATCATTTTTGCCTTGGTCAAACAAAGCAAGCAAACAGGTAGGTAGCCATAATGACCATTAGGTTGTGGCAGGATAGTTATAGCTTTGATTGTTTTCACTGCACCAATTTGTCATTTGGATAAAATACAATGATTTCAGTGAGTGTGGCAGATCGTTGTTACAATATAACACATAATAAAATCTGGTGCAGCATTTTGGCATAATTTGTAGATTCCAGAGATAAAGCAGAGTTAAGAAGTTCCAATTCCCTCCATCTTTCCACTATAGCATCAGAGGTTACGTTAAAAGGCAGTAAAACATTTGATTTTTCATTGCCTGATTACTAATATAACCATAAAGTAAAAAAATTGTTTTTTTATCCACTCTTTTACATTATGATTTCAACTCTCGTAATGAATACAGTAGGATATCTCTACTTACCATAAAATCCTTTCTTGGTGTCCATTGTGGGACATAGAAAAAGTCCAATTAAGAGGCAGACAACACAACAATCAAATAATAACAAGAAAAGAACAGGAAACTGGAAACTGTTTACTGTCTTCAACTCAAAGAGCCATCTGAAGGTAATCTGAAGACCAGGTGTCAGCCTTGCAAATCTGGGAAACAAGTGTTTATGCTGAAAAGCCCAAGGAGCACTCATAGATCAAGAACACTGCACCTTGACTGAAAAGAGTGGAACCCAATCCTTGGATGACTGTCTGCTTGAGCCACTTTACAAACAAACAGATTTCCCAGCACACTTACCAGTTGATCTGCAAAAAAAAATGGCACTGTCTAACATTTTACATTAAAAAGGGAGGGTTTAGTTGCACACATCTGAACAAAAATATGTGGAAGCCACCATGATTCATCAAGGCTCCCTGTAATGTGTAGTCCTGCCTCCTGTGTTTGAGAGTCTCCAAGTTGGAGCATACAGCGGGTAAAATAAGTATTGAACACGTCACTATTTTTCTAGGTTAATATATTGCTAAAAGTACTTTTGACATGAAATTTTCAACACACGTCAGTAACAACCCATGCAATCCATACATACAAAGAAACCAAAACAAATAAATTCAGAAATTAAGTTATGTGTAATAAAATGGAATGACACAGAGAAAAAGTATTGAACATGCTAACTGAAATTTAATAATATAATTAATATTTCGTACAAAATCCTGTGTTGGTAATGACAGTTTCGAGACACCTCCTGTATGGAGATACTAGCCATATGCATTGCCCAGGTGTGATTTTGGCCCATTCTTCCACACAGTCTTCAAATCTTGAAGGTTCCATGGGCCTCTTCTATGAACTCTGAACTTCAGTTCTTTTCATTGATTTTCTGTTGGATTCAAGTCAGGTAATTGGCTGGACCATTCTAGCAGCTTTATTTTCTTTCTTTGAGATCAGTTAAGAGTTTACTTGGCTTTGTGTTTGGGATCATTGTCTTGCTGAAATGTCCACCCTTGGTTCATCTTCATCATCCTGGTAGATGGCAACAAATTTTGATCAAGAATGTCTTGGTACATTTTTCCACTCATCCTTCAATGATATTAAGTTTGCCAGTAACGTATGCTGAAAAACAGCCTCACACCATGATGTTCCCACCTCCAAACTTCACTGATGGTATGGTGTTTTTGGGGTGATGTGCAGTGCCATTTGACCTCCAAACATGGTGAATTATGGCATCCAGAGAGTTCAGTTTCGGTCTCATCTGACCAGACTGTATTCTCCCAGTATTTTACAGGCTTGCCTAAATGTTGTGCAGCAAACTTTAAACGAGCTTCAACATGCTTTTTCTTCAGCAATGGAGTCTTGCATGGCAAGCATGCATATAGGCCATGGCGGTTGAATGCATTACTTATTGTTTCCTTTGAAATAACTGTACCTGTTAATTCCAGGTCTTTCTGAAGCTCACCACAAGTAGTCCTTGGCTCTTGGACAACTCTTCTGATAATTCTTTTCACTCTTCTGTCAGAAATCTTGCACCTGGTCATGGCCGGTTTATGTTGAAATGATGTTCTTTCCACTTCTGGATTATGGCCCCAACAGTGCTCACTGGAACATTCAGAAGTTTAGAAATCCTTCTGTAACCAATGCCATCAGTATGTTTTGCAACAATAAGGTTGCGAAGATCTTGAGAGAGCTCTTTGCTTTTACCCATCATGAGACGATTCTTGTGTGACACCTTGGTAATGAGATGCCTTTTTATAGGCCATCGGTTGAGACTGAACCAGCTGATATTAATTTGCACTGACAAGGGGCAGGATTGCTCTCTAATTACTGATAGATTTAAGCTGGTGTCTTGGCTTTCCATGCCTTTTTGAACCTCCCTTTCTTCATGTGTTCAATACTTTTTCTCTGTGTCATTCCATTTTATTACACATAACTTAATTTCTGAACTTATCTGTTTTGGTTTCTTTGTATGTATGGATTGTAGGGGTTGTTACCGACATGTAATGAAAATTTCATGTTAAAAGTACTTTGTTTCTTTGTATGCAGGCCCGGACTGGCCATAGGGCACACTGGGCAATTGCCAGGTGGGCCAGGGCCACCAAACCACGTGTACTAGCAATAGCTGGCTACCCCCAGGCTTCCCTTTCACTCACTGTTTACTGCTGCTCACTGCACCCCACCCACCGCACACTCTGGCAGTCAGAGGTTATATCACACTGCAGAGCCCTGTTCCCTGTATCCAATGAGGGTGCTGCTGACATCTCCCTCCTTACTCACCATGTGTGCCTGGCTCTCCGTACTGTGTGCAGGCAGTACTCAGAGAATCATGAAGATGCCGAGAGGAGGGGGAGACCAGAGATGACAAGGGTGGTGAGCCTAGGACTAGACACAGGTGAACTGTGTCATTGCTACTCATTATGATAGTGGCTCTGTACAGCATTGTCTATGGGAGCTGTATGGTGTGTGCTGGGAACAGACCAAATCTGTATTAGATAAGACCTGGAGTGTTTATATGTGGTGGGCACTTCATGTTACTGCTCTCTCGTCTGTTGGGTATAGAGGGATTAAGAGTTATGTACAGCTTGGGGCTCCCACCACACCATTTACTTGCCACAGCAATGGGAAAACATGCTGTGCAAGCTCCAGGCCATGTTAAACGTTTCTGCAGGGCTAAAGAATCTCTACTTACCCCTACATGAAGGAAAGGTGAGTATAAGCACAGAGGGAGAGGGTGACCAATTAAAGTGACACTAAACTCTGGTGTAAAAAAATAAGTACCATTCCAGTCTGTATTCTTAACTAAAAAAAGCCCTTTCTAGAGCTCTCAGCCTCCTCCAAATTCCTTTCTTTTGTTGCTGTGATCTAACTTACTGTTAGAGGGTGGCTATGTTCCTTCTCCATGGTCTTACTTAGGGCCAGACTGGCCATAGGGCACACCAGGCCGCATGCCATAACAAAAGCTGGCTAATGCAGGGGTCCCCAACACCCTGTTGGTGATCGGGTCTCATAGTGGGAGGTAAGCGGTGACCACAATCTGGACAGGGTTGCCTCTATGTGCCCATGCCAGTGTCTCCTCTCTTGGCTCTCCTGCCCCACCAATGATGTCATCCTTTGAGCAGAGCAGGGGACAGTAGCTGCTGGAGATCTGCACAAAGAGCGGGAGTCTTTTCATGTTAACAAGCGGGTAATCATCGCTTGTTAATATGGTCCAGACTTACAGTTCCTCCTGCCCCCTGCTCTGTTGATAGGATGACATTGTTGGTGGGGCAGGAGAGCCAGGAGAGGAGACACTGACTGAATCCTGCCTCTGCCCTGCTGATGGTAGGACTGTATATGGGAAGCAGAGAGTAAAAGGGGGCCCTTTGGTTAGAGATAAAGGGGGGATGCTAAATGCAAGGGGCACTGTGATGCAGGGCCGTGATTGCTACGGGCACTGTAATGTAAAGGGGCACTTTGATATAAAGGAGACTGCACTGTAATTATTACAGAGCAGTTCCTTTTATATCACAGTGTCCTTTTACATTACAGTGCGGAGGATCAACTCTGTGAATATCCCATCAGCAAATGTCCCCCCCCCCACCTGCCGGGTCCCTGGAAAAATTGGCTGCTCAGTCTAAAATGCCCAGGTCTATTCTTTTGTCCCAGTCCAGGCCTGTTTGTATGTATGGATTGCATAGGTTTTTACCAACATGTGGTGAAAATTTCATGTCAATAGCACCTTAAGAAATATATTTACCTAGAAAAATTATGACGTGTTCAATACTTATTTTAACCGCTATATATGCCAAATCCAGTGAGCAAGCTAAACAATAATGGCAACCACCCCAAATTATAGCTAGCATTTGAACCACTTTCAAACAAAAGGGGAAAATTTCCTCTTGATGAACTGAAACCAGACAGGAGGACAGAAGAACTATGTCCTGGTTGAGGTGAAAGTCAGAAACTACCTTAGGCAAGAAGGAAGTCCTGGTCCTGGGTGGTCTCTAAAGTGCAGAGAACACCAGATTCAGATCCCAGAAAGTCACAGAGGAATGGATGGGGGAGCCATATGGAAGGCCACCTGTAGTGAGAAGCCGTCTCTAAAACAGAATAGAAATGGCAAAAACTGACCCTTGATATAGCTGGGAGACAGATGCTAGTCCAGACCAGGTGCAGGAAGGAAAAAAATCATCTCACAGAAAAAATTTCTAGGGTAGAAGCCCCAAAACTGACACCAAGTCAAATAGAAATTCTTTGTCTGAGAAGTTAACCTTTAGCATTATAGGAATCACAGAGTGAAAGCCTGGTCCCTCAGAAGCTGGGCTTCAACAGCCATGACAGTAAGCCAGTGACTATGAAGCAGGATGGCAAATCAGTCCTTTGGATAGAAGATCCTGGCAATCTGGCAGAGCCCACAAATCACATGGCAGGAGACTTACCAGGTCAGTACACCAGATCTGCATGGGCTAGTCTAGCACAATTAGGATCAATGAAAAGCCCTCCATCTTGATCCTGCTTTTTGTTTTTTTTTTATTGGGGGGGGGGGGGGGGGTGTCACCTGGTACAGTGGGACTGTCTTCCCAGTGTCTAGAATCAGACATGTTGTGACCATGTGATACTAGGGCAATACATAAGCTTAGGGAAAGAGGCAAAGCCTCAGGTACTCATGCAAATCAGAGCAGGTGACGTTAAAACGAAAAAGAGATGTAGCAAGTAGATAGATAGATAGATAGATAGATAGATATAGATAGATATAACACAGCATAGCTGCAGAAATAACATCTATCCTTCTATGACACTAGCAAAAAACTGAGGCATGCTGGTTGTGTGAGATGTTATCTTGAGTTGGCCTTCAGCTTTTTTGCCAGTGTTCAATTCTCCTGTATGTGGCAGTAAAACCTGAAGGTGAGAGACTTTATGAATTCATCATATGATGGAAAAGAAAAACGACACCACCGTACAATACAGAGAAGGATCCTGTCTGTCCTTTTTTGTTCAATAATTTTTACTGTAATTTCACAAAGAAGTGGACACGAGGAGAAGAGATGCATAAAATTACAGCGCGGGATCAGCGCATGTGAAAGTGCACAGTGTGCAGAAGTTACTAACTGTCTGCAGAGTCAATAGCTAAAGACCTCCAAACTCGTGTGGCCTTCAGATTAGCACAACAGTACGTATAGAGCTTCATGGAATGGGTTTCCATGGCCAAGCAGCTGCATCCAAGCCTTACATCACCAAGTGCAGTGCAAAGTGTCGGATGCAGTTGTGTAAAGCACACCACCACTGGACTCTAAAGCAGTAGAGATGTGTTCTCTGGAGTGACAAATCACGCTTCTCTAGCAAACCGATGGACATGTCTGGGTTTGGTGGTTGCCAGGAGAACGGTACTTGTCTGACTGCATTGTGCCAAGTGTAAAGTTTGGTGGGAGAGGGGATTATGGTGTGGGGTTGTTTTTCAGGGGTTAGGCTTGGCCCCTCAGTTCCAGTGAAGGGAACTCTTAAGGCGTCAGCATACCAAGACATTTTGGAAAATTTAAATCTCCCAACTTTGTGGGAACAGTTTGGGGATGGCCCCTTCCTGTTCCAACATGACTGCGCACCAGTGCACAAAGCAAGGTTCATAAAGACATGGATGAGCGAGTTTGGGGTGGAGGAAGTTGACTGGCCTGAACAGAGTCCTGAGCTCAACTCGATAAAATACCTTTGGTATGAATTAGAGCAGAGATTGTGGGCCAGGCCTTCTCGTCCAACATCATTACCTGACCTCTCAAATGCGCTTCTGGAAGAATTGTCAAACATTCCCATAGACACACTCCTAAACCTTGTGGACAGCCTTCCCAGAAGAGCTGAAGCTGTTATAGCTGCAAAGTGTGGGCCAACTCAATATTGAACCCTACGGACTAAGACTAGGATGCCATTAAAGTTCATATGTGTGTAAAGGCAGGCCGACCAATACTTTTGGCAATATAGTGTATGGTTTCCAGGTAACATTCACAGTATGAAGAATGTGCAAAGATAAATCACAGTAGATTTTTTTAGCTCACGAACAGTAGATGAACAAGGCATCCACTTGTGCTACTGATGCGCTGATCTTGTATATCTCTTTGGTGACAGAGTGGGTGGTGGTATGCATTGCCTAGCAAAGTAATGAAGTCCTCTCTGACGTCAAGGAAAACAAACAACGTAATTATCTGGCGTGATTATTGTAGAAGACAAATGCATAACATGTGTCACTGGCCAGCTAACAATCATACTCAGCAAAGGCAATAATCTCAGTCTACTAAAACATATTAAACATGACAAAAATATATACTCATTATAGCTATTTAGGGTGGAAATGTACAGACAGTATATATAATAATACTTGCAGAAAACAGATGAAATTATAATTACAAAATTTTATATAAAATAACATTAAAAATGTTTTATGAATTATCATGCACATCTGCTGGGGTTATATAATGGGGCAGTACAAACACACAGATGCTGTACCAAGTAGATGTACAAAGAGCAGAGATGAATACACTGTGAAAGCACCCAGAGCAACTAATACGATTTCAATTTTCAGTATGTAAATCACAATAAACAAAGTTGATTACCAACTGACTGCATATAGTTTGTTCCATTCTTTTATTTAATAAATGGCCTCTGTAAATGAATGATTTATATATCTTTACAAAATAAAGCAACAGATGAAGATAGATTAAATGAGACTAGCCCTTGATACATTTTTAAATAAATGTAATGCATAAATGAAGACTTCTTCGTTTTACATTTTCCTATCTCCTTTTGTAAAGTTGGAAAACATTATCACAAAACTAATATATGTCCTAAATGATGGGTAATAATGACATTCACTAATACAATATAAATATACAGAAATACATATTAAATATATCCTGTACTGTGCGGCCCCAGACATATATGATGACTCAGGAACTATAAAACATATTAAATGACGATGAATCTATATAAAAACTGCAACTGTCATTTGAGTATATTGGATGCATTTTACCAGTGAGAACGCTGTTTATAAAAAGTAGAATTGAATCAATCTAAATATATATAAATCATTTATAGACCTATCTTCAGCATCCATATATTAGATACAACTGGCTTATCAAAGAAAGGGATGCAAAGTTGCACGACAATGGAATACACTGTGACACAGCAATAGACAGACTGAACAGTAGACATACACACCGTAGACAGCTCATCACATCCTAACAGGGTGTAATAATCTTGCCCCATAGACTCTTCTGTGCACTTCAGAATAGCATCCATCTCTTGATGCAGAATAAGCAGCAAAGCTCTGATTTCTGACAGCTGGGCTGCTCAAGCCTTTATGTGCATGGGCAGCTCCCCACTTGTTGCTTGCTATTGGCAAATAAAAAAGAGGTGAGGTTGCTGTGCTGCTAATGCTTCATGGGAGTTGTAGTTTATATGGAAAAGAAGAGCTATAGGCTTATTTCTACTGTTTACCTGCATGACAGCAATCTAGTTCACAAAATCTTTCTGCTACAAGAAGGTCATTGACTTGAAATGACCAACATGCCCTAAATAATTGTAAATAGGAATATTTTTGCAGTTACTCAATCACCAAGGACATTGACATGTTGCTGGTGAATGTGGGATGCCTTGAAACAAAACGCAAACACGATTTTAGTTAAAGTGGGATTTAAAAGGCAGCTGCAGTTGTAATGAAAATCATATGTATAGTTTATGTACAGTTGTGTTCAAAATAATAGCAGTGTGTTGAAAAAAGTGAATAAAGCTCAAAATCCTTCTAATAGCTTTTATTTCCATACACACAAATGCATTGTGAACACTACACATTCTATTCCAAATCAAAACATGAAGAAAAGTATATCAAATTTGTGTTGTTCCTCTAAATAAATTGAAGAAAAGTGAATATTAGACTGTTCAAAAAAATAGCAGTGTTTGTATTCTTCTTTACAAACTCAAACATTCACTATATAAACTGAAAAATGTTTGAAGATTTTGCTTTCCTTTGAATCACAATGAATATTTAGTTGTATAAGCACTGTTTTCTGAGAACTGCTGTACATTTGTGTTGCATGGAGTCAACCAACTTCTGGCACCTGTGAACAGGTATTCCAGCCCAGGATGATTGGACTACATTCCACAGTTCTTCTCTATTTTTTGGTTTTGCCTCAGAAACTGCATTTTTGATGTCACCCCACAAGTTTTCTATTGGATTAAGATCCGGGGATTGGGCTGGCCACTCCATAACGTCAATCTTGTTGGTCTTGAACCAAGATGTTGCACGTTTACTGGTGTTTTTGGGGTCGTTGTCGTGTTGGAACACCCATTTCAAGGGCATTTCCTCTTCAGCATAAGGCAGCATGACCTCTTCAAGTATTCTGATGTATTCAAATTGATCCATGATCCCTGGTATGCGATAAATAGGCCCAACACCGTAGTATGAGAAACATCCCCATATCATGATGCTTTGCGCAACCATGCTTCACTGTCTTCACAGTGTACTGTGGCTTGAATTCAGTGTTTGGGGGTCGTTTGACAAACTGTCTCCAGCCACTAGACCCAAAAAGAACAATCTTACTTTCATCAGTCCACAAAATGTTGCACCATTTCTCTTTAGGCCAGTCAATGTGCTCTTTGGCAAATTGTAACCTCTTCAGCACGTCTTTTTTTCAACAGTGGGACTTTGTGGGGGCTTACTGCAGATAGCTTGGCTTCACATAGGCATCTTCTAATTGTAACAGTACTCACAGGTCACTTTAGACCTTCTTTCATCTTCCTGGAGCTGATTGTTGGCTGAGTCCTTGCCATTTTGGCTATTCTTCTATCCATTCGAATGGTAGTTTTTCGCTTTCTTCCACATCTTTCAGGTTTTGGTTGCCATTTTAAAGCATTTGCGATCATTTTAGCTGAGCAGCCTATCATTTTCTGCACTTCTTTATATGTTTTCCCCTCTCCAATCAACTTTTTAATCAAGGTACGCTGTTCTTCTGAACAATGTCCGGAACGACCCATTTTCCTCAGAATTTCAGAGAGAAATGCACTGTAGCCAGCATGTACAACATTTGCTGCCTTCCTTCCTTAAATAAGGGCAATAATTGCCACCTGTTTTTCAAAGAATGAATGACCTCACTAATAGAACTCCACACTGCTTTATTTTGAACATGCCCCTTTCAATTAGTGATTCAATTATACAGAATCAGCAGCATGCATGTCATGACTGTTGGGTCTGTTGGATTTCTATTACTCTACTACACCTGCTAGTAAATTATTTGCCATGTAGAAATATAATTTCTACCAAAAACAGTGATTGATCAGGTTAGTGATGTCTGACTGCTATTATTTTGAACACAACTGTAATTTTGGTGAAGTGCAGTCAAATATACACTGAAGGTTATATAAATCAGTTCCTAGCAGCTAAAAACAATTTCCAATAACAGCGTTTTGAAGCTGTGAGGGCTCATAGCACTGTTGTGTTTTCATCCCTTTGCTGTCATAACATCAGTAAAATGCACAAATAATGACAAATATTTTATGGTCAATTGGCCCCCTTCTTACCCAGCAGTTTGTTGTGAAAAACTGCTGTCTAGCTGCTAAAGCCTCTTTCACATGGGCAACACCCGGTACAATGCCCATTCATTCATTTTTTTTCTGCATATTAAAACCCTGCTGCAGATTTTTGGACCCTTGTTGAATCTATTAGCAGTCAGATGAAAACAGACTTGCTTCTATTTATAAAAGCCTACTTTCGATATGTCACATTTAGGTCCAGAAAAATGTAAAATTGTGCAGACCTTGTTTCATTTATATCCCGGGCTTCAACAAGCTCAGAGGTAAGTGGTTGTAAACAAAATCACATTTGGGGCACAGATCCCTGCCCATGAAGCTTCCAGTCAGGTCCACATGAAAAACTGACAGGCAGATCGGACTGTACCACCCATGTGAAAGGGGCCTAAGAGTACCAAACAGGGGCATAACTAAAAATCATGGGGCCCCATAGTACACTTTTGATGCTTCCCCCCCCCTTCCTGGTGACCTCCTTACTGTTGTTGATCTTAAAGTATATCTACATTTTTTTGTAGCTCTTGATAGAGTGGGGAGGGGTTAAAACACCCAATATAACCAATAAATGTAGATAGACAGCAAGTACTTTTGCTAGAAACGTAACATCAACAGAAAAGAGATCAGGTGATATGATTCAGGTTTGAGTGGATTTTTATCAGGTTTCAAAAGAACAGCTATAATTGCCTCATTCATGTTGGGGGGAAGAATTCAGAGATATTAGGCTTCAATAAACACAAAAAACGGAATAATATGTCCGATAAGTTTTATATACTTCTCCCGGGTAGCTCATCAGTGCCAGGGGCTCTGTTATTCGGTAAGCTGGATAGAGCTTTTTTGTAGCTCTTCTAGGATATAGGGGAGTCCATTCTAGAGCATGTTTCCAAAGAAAGAGTTGGTAAGGTGATTGGGTCCAGAAATTATATCAAGGCATTTTTCTCGTAGGATACTTTGCTGCTGTATAAATCTCAGTAGAAAGCATTAAACATTGAGGCTATATCTGAGGAAGAAATCACAGTACTGTTGATGGCATAATTGATTTCGCTCATGAAAGTCAGGGGTTGCTAGTATTTAGCTATAGCAGCCAGGAGATGTCCAGTGTTTTCCCCACCTCAAAGAACACTTGCTGCATAAAAAAACTTTTTGCTAGGCTCACTGTAAAGACAAGGAAGCATAAAGACGCTGCTGTGCCAGCCAGACAACCTGGGTCTCAGGAGAGGGATGTGCTAATTGTTTGCCTTGCATGACAGCTTTGATAACACGATTTTCCCACACACTCTAGAGACCTGTTTAATTTGAGATATGAGAACATCTCTCAGGCATGCCTTTAGGGTGTCCCTTTCACAAATATATTGTGTGGCGTGTTTATTTACTTCAAGAAATTCCTGGATATCCTGACTCAGGAGTTGTAAAATGATTTAACCAGTATGGGTTGATCTTCCAGAATCCACCCCGATGTAGAGGTATTCAACCCGAAAGAACCAGGGATGTGATCTGACAGGCTTCTGGCAAAATACTCTAGGTGTCTTACCTAGGGCAAGATGGTACTATTTCCTAGCGCCAGGTCAATCCTGTATAAGGCCACATGAGTATAAGATGTGTAAGAAGCTCATTGATGGTTACAAGAAGTGATGGATTTCAGTTATTTTTTCCAAGGGGTGTGCTACCAAGTATTGAGCGTGCTAATAAATTTGTCCAGGGCCCAGGATTAGGCTTCCTTTTTCTCTTCTTTTGTGTCATACCAATACAAACAAAAAATAATAAACATGAGAATGCCAAAACATTTGTAATTGTAACAATTTTCTGGGTGAAGTGGTACAGTATCTGACAGAAATGCAAGTGTCAGGAATGGACTTGCCAATAGTGGTGGGACTCACCTGTCTTGTGGGCTGCAGTACCAGGGCTGGCCAGCGGGTGCGCTCAACAACGAGAGGTTCACTTCGGCAATTAGCCATCACCTGGGGCTGATTGCAGGTGGTGTATTTAAGGGATGGCCAGACCTACAGTCTGTGCCTTGGTGTGTGTTTTTCCATGGGCCCCTGTATCTTGTAACCTGCATTCCTGTTCCTGTTTCTGCCTGACTTGTTGCCGACAAGGTACAGGAGGAGCAGGCATCTCTCCGCCTGCTCCTCCTGTACCTACCTGCCCGATAGTTATCGACCCGGCCTGCCTGACTACGTTGTGCTCTATATGTGTATGTACCTGTGTATCTGTATCAGTTTAGGTTTGGGTTTGTTTCACCTTGTTGTATGTATTTGTGTTAGCTTGGGGTCTGGTGCGTTGCGTTTATGTTTGTATTGTTAGTCTTAATAAATTGTCTTATTTATACCATATCTGAAGCTTGCGTTTCCCTGTGTCAGTCCACACACTTCTGGTCACACCCGCATCCCTGACAGCAAGGGTGCCAATATTTTTGGCCATGACTGTACTCTGGACAGTACCATATTTTTCCACATACACACTCAAATAGTTCTTAAAATCCCCACAACCAGTAAGGGTACATCAGATTTGTCAGCTATAAATTTCAATAATTCATCCCATTAATCTAAATTGAAGCCTGAGGGGTTGTGTAGAGGAAGAAGATCCACAGAGTAGCAATGGCCCCATATCATATTTGCTCAAGACTTTTTGCATAAAGCCCCAGTCAACTGAGTTGAATGCTATTTTCTATGTTTTACATATTTTATACATATCTTATTATACCTGAAAATCCTTCTCTT